CAATTCTCCCTATCTTGATGAATCCCCCCAACCTTGCTGAATTCTCCCTATGTGGCTGAATAATCCCTACCTTTCTCAATCACCCCAATGTTGATTAATCACCCCTACCTTGCTGAATTTCAACCACCTTGCTGCATTGCCTCTACCTTGCATTATCACCCCTGCCTTGAATTATCACCCCTACCTTGCTTCATCACCCCTACCTTGCTGAATCACCCCTACCTTGCTTAACCACCCCTACTTTGCTGAATTCCCACCCTTTGGAAGAATTCCCTCCACCTTGCTTTATCACCCCTACCATAATTAATCAACCCTACCTTCCTTAATCACCCCTACCTTGCAAAATCACCCCCTCCTTGCTGAATCCCCCCTACCTTGCTGACTTCTCCCTATCTAGCTGAATCATCCTACCTTTCTTAATCACCCCTAACTTGCTCAATCACCCCTACCATGCTTAATCACCCCTACCTTGCTGAATTGCCTCTACCTTGCTTAATAACCCTTTATTGATTTGTCACCCCTACCTAGCTTGATCACCCCTATCTTGATTTATCACAACTACATTGTATTATCACCCCTACCTTGCTGAATTCTCCCTTACCTGCTGAATTCCCCCTACCTTGCTTTATCACCCCTAACTTGCTGAATTCTCCCTATCATGTTGAATCATCCATACCTTTCTTAATCACCCCTACCTTGCTGCGTTCTCCCTATCTTGCTGAATCCCCCCTCCCTTTCTGAATCATCCCTACCCTGAAAATCAACCCTACCTTGCTGATTCTTCTTCCTTGTTGAATCTCGCTGAATTTCCCCTACCATGCTGAGATCTCTTCATCTTGCTGAATCCCCCCTCCCTTTCTGAATCTCCCCTACCTTTATCAATCATCCCTACCTTGCTGAATTTCCACTATGATGCTTAGTCAACCCTACCTTGCTGAATCCGCCTTACCTTGCTGGATTCTCCCTATCTTGCTGAATCCCCCCTACCTTGCTTAATCACCCCTAACTTGCTGAATTCTCCCTATCGTGCTGAATCATCCATACCTTTCTTAATCACCCCTACCTTGCTGCGTTCTCCCTATCTTGCTGAATCCCCCCTCCCTTTCTGAATCATCCCTACCTTGAAAATCAACCCTACCTTGCTGATTCTTCTTCCTTGTTGAATCTCGCTGAATCTCCCCTACCGTGCTGAGTTCTCTTCATCTTGCTGAATCCCCCCTCCCTTTCTGAATCTCCCCTACCTTTAGTAATCTTTCCTACCTTGCTGAATTTCCACTACGATGCTTAGTCAACCCTACCTTGCTGAATCCCCCCTACCTTGCTGAATTCTCCATATCTTACTGAATCCCCCCTGCCTTGCTTAATCACCCCTACCTTGCTCAATTCTCCCTATCTTGCTGAATCATCCCTACCTTTCTAAATCACCCCTATCTTGATTCATCTCCCCTACCTTTCTATATCACCTTTATCTTGCTGAATTCCCACCCCCTTGCTGAATTCCCTTTACCTTGCTTAATCACCCCTTCCTTGCTATCTTGCTGAATTCCCACTACCTTGCTTACTCACCCTTGCTTTGCTGAAGTACCACCCTTTTGCTGAATTTCGTCTACCTTGCTTAATATCCCCTACATTGATTTGTCATCCCTATGGAGCTTAATCATCCCTTCCTTGCTGAATCCCCCCCACCTTGCTGAATCATCCCTACCTTGCTGAATTCCCACAACCTTGCTGAATCCACCCTACCTTGTTTAAGCACTCCTACCTTGCTCAGTCTCGCATACTATTATCAAGAACCCCTATCTAGCATTATTCACCCCTACCTTTCTGAATTCCCCCTCTCTTGCTGAATCCCCCCTACCTTGCTGAATTTTCCCTATCTTGTTGAATCTCCCCTACCTTGCTGAATTTCCAGTACCTTGATTAATCACCCCTACCTTGCTCAATCACCCCTACCTTGCTGAATCCCCCCTACCTTGCTGAATTCTCCCAATCTTGCTGAATCCCCGCTACCTTGCTTAATCACCCCTACCTTGCTCACTTATCCCTATCTTGCTGAATCATCCCTACCTTTCTCAATCACGCCTACCTTGATTAATCATACCTACCTTGCTTAATTACCCCTATCTTGCTGAATCCCCCCTGCCTTGCTGAATCCCCCCATCCATGTTGAATCAACCCTACCTTGCTGAATTCTCGCTACCTTGCTGAATCCCCGCTACCTCCTTAATCACCCCTACCTTACTGAATTCTCCCTATCTTTCTTATTCATCCCTACCTTGCTGAATCTCCCCTACCTTTCTGAATCACCCCTACCTCAATTATTCATCCCTACCTTGCTGAATTCCCACTACGTTGCTTAATCAACCCTAACTTGCTGAGTCACCCCTATCTTGCTTAATCATCCCTACCTTGCTGCATTCCCACTACCTTGCTCAATTTTCCCTTTGTTTTCTAATCACTCCTACCTTGCATAATGACACCTACCTTCATTAATCACCCCTATATTGCTTAATCTACCCTACCTTGCTGAGTTCTCTCTATCTTGCTGAATCCATCCTCCATTGCTGAATCAACCCTACCTTGCTTAATCAACCCTACCTTGCTCAATCAATCCTACCTTGCAGAATTCCCACCCCCTTGCTGAATTCCCTCTACCTTGCTTTATTACCCCTTTCTTGCTTAATCACCCCTTTCTTGCTGAATCCCCCCTCCCTTGCTGAATATCCCCTTCCTTGGTTAATCAACCCTACCTACTCCCTTTCTTGCTGAATCCCCACTCTCTTTCTTAGTCACCCTTACCTTGATTAATCATCCCTATGATGCTTAATCATTCCTACCTTGCTGAAGTGTCCCTTTCTTGCTGAATCATCCCTCCCTTTCTTAATCACCCCTACCTTGCTTAATCATCCCTACCTTGCTAAATCACTCCTACCTTGCTTAATCACCCCCAACTTACTTAATCACCCCTACCTTTCTGAATTCCCACCCTCTCACTTAATTCCCTCTTCCTGGCCTAGACATCCCTAAATGGATTGATCATCCCTAACTTACAGAGTAACCGTTACATTGCTGAATCCCCCCTTCCTTGCTGAATCATCATAATCACCCCAAAATTGCTCCATTCCCCCTATCTCGTTGAATTTTCCCTTCCTTGCTGAGTTCTCTTTATCTAGCTGAATCCCCCTCCCTTCCTGAATCACCCTACCAATATTAATCATCCCTACCTTGTTGAATTCCCACTACGTTGCTTGATCAAGCCTACCTTGCTGAATCACCCCTACCTTGCTGAATTCTCACTTCCTTGTTTACTCATTTCTACCTTGATTAATGATCCCAACCCTGAATAATCACCCCTATATTGCTTAATTACCCGAAAATTGCAGAATTGCCGATTTCTGCTTAATCCCGCCTCCCTTGCTGAATCACCCCTACCTTGCTTAATCAACCCTACCTTGCTTAATCACCCTTGCCTTGCTGAACACCCCCATCCGTGTTGAATCAACCCTACCTTGCTGAATTCCCCCTACCTTGCTGAATTCTCGCTACCTTGCTGAATCCCCACTACCTCCTTAATCACCCCTACCTTGCTGAATTCTCCCTATCTTGCTGAGTCATCCCTACCTTGCTGAATCTCCCTACCTTGCTGTGTTCTCTTCACCTTGCTGAATCTCCCCTACCTTTCTGAATATCCCCTACCTTTCTGAATAACCCCTACCTTTATTCATCATCCCTACCTTGCTGAATTACCACTACGTTGCTTAATCAACCCTAACTTGCTGAATCACCCCTACCTTGCTTAATCATCCCTACCTTGCCGCATTCCCACTACCTTGCTCAATTTCCCCTTACTTTACTAATCACTCCTACCATGCATAATGACCCCTACCTTGATTAATCACCCCTATATTGCTTAATCACCAGAAAAATGCAGAATTCCCCTTATCTAGCCGAATCTACCCTACCTTACTGAATCCCCTACCTTAATCACCCCTAGCTTGCTGAATTCCACCTCTCTTGCTGAATCCCCCCTACCAGGCAGAATTTTCCCTATCTAGTTGCATCTCCCCTACCTTGCCGAATTTCCACTCCCTTGCTCAATCACCCCTGCCTTGCTCAATCACCCCTACCTTGTTTAATCACCCACATCTTGGTGAATCCCCACTACCTTGCTGAATCCACCCTTCCTTGTTGAATCACCCCTACCTTGCTGAATCCCTTCTACCATGCTGAATTCTCCCTATCTTGCTGAATTCCCGCTACCTTGCTTAATCACCCCTACCTTGACCAATTCTCTATATCTTGCAAAATCATCCCTCCCTTTCTTAATCACCCCTACCTTGCTTAATCATCCCTACCTTGCTAAATCACTCCTACCTTGCTTAATCACCCCCAACTTACTTAATTACCCCTACCTTTCTGAATTCCCACCCTCTCACTTAATTCCCTCTTCCTGGCCTAGACATCCCTAAATGGATTGATCATCCCTAACTTACAGAGTAACCGTTACATTGCTAAATCCCCCCTTCCTTGCTGAATCATAATCATCCTGCCTACCTTGCTGAATTTTCCCTATCTCGCTGAATCTTCCCTACCTTGCTGAGTTTCCACAACCTTGCTTAATCACCCCTACCCTGCTCAATCACCCCTTCCATTATTGTTCACCCGAACCTTGCTGAATTCTCCCTATCTTGCTGAATCATCCCTCCCTTTCTTAATCACCCCTACATTGCGTAATCACTCATTTATTGCTAAATCATCCCTACTTTGCTGAGTCCCCACTACATTGCTGAATCTCGTCTACCTTTTTGGACCCCCCCTTCCTTGCTTAATCACCCCTAAATTGCTCCATTTCCCCTATCTTGCTGAATCTCCTCCCCTACCTTGCGGAATTACCACTACGTTGCCTAATCAACCCTACGTTGCTGAATCACCCCTACCTTGCTTAATCACCCCTACACTGCTGAATTCCCCCTCCCTTGATTAATCAGCCCTACCTTGCTTAATGAACCATACCTTTATTAATCACCCCTACATTGCATAATCACCCAAAAATTGCATAATTCCCCATATCTTGCTGAATCTCCCTTACCTTGCTGAGTTCTCTCTTTCTTGATCAATCCCCCCTCACTTGCTGAATCACCCCTACCTTGCTTAATCAACCCTTTCTTGCTGAATTCCCCCATTCTTGCTCAATCACCCCAAACATATTTATCACCCCTATCTTGCTTAGTCGTCCCTACCTTGCTGCATCCCCCCTTCCTTGTTGAATCAACTCTACCTTGCTGAATCCCCCCAACCTTGCTCACTTCTCCATATCTTGGTGAATCCCCCCGACCTTGCTTAATCACCCCTACTGTCACAGGATCGAATGTGTCGAGGAAAGGTTGCACTATCGATCAGTACAAGGCGCTTTTATACTTCCAAAGTACATCAGGTAACCAGGTTTATCTTATCCTAAGGGAATAGACCCTTCTAGAAGATAGAATCACCCTGCGTATAGCCACGCGAGGCTATTGGCTTTAAGGGATTACGGCAGGATTACGCTAGATAGAGCGCACCAATACATCCCAAGCCTGGTCGGTGATATAATTATAATAGCAGGATAAACCAAAGGTTAATGGGAAAGGAAGAATAGGAAACCAAATGAGATGCGGTAAAAAGAGAAATGGAAGGAAAAGGAAATAGGGAAAAGGCCAAGTGGTATAACGGGGTCGTACTCTCACACTTCCCCCCCTCAAAGCTGGGTGGTAGAAGTAACACCCTGCTTGACAAGGTAGTCATGCAGAGGACGACGGGCGTTACCCATGTCGGATTCAGGTACCCAGCTGTCCTCAGAAGGATCATAACCCTTCCAACGGATGAGAAGCTCCACAGTGCCATTCCGACAACGGCGGTGTGCGAGCACGGACTCGACCTCGTACTCGGGTTCATTCTGGACGAGGACGGGCGGTGGCGGCGGCGGTTGGCGTCCGACGAAAATTGTGTTCGGGTCCCGATAGGGCTTCAGAAGTTGGACGTGGAAGGTGTTGTGAATCTTCCAGGTAGCTGGCAGGCGTAAGCGGAAGGTAACAGGAGTGACCTGTGCTTCAACGAGAAAAGGCCCGCAGAAGCGAGGTCGAAGTTTAGATGGGAGGTGGCTGATGTCCAGGTTGCGGGTGTCAAGAAGCACCTGGTCTCCCACCGTGATGGTGTGGTCGTTGCGATGGCGATCGGCCTGGCGCTTTTGTTGCTGTTGAATGTCAAGGAGGCGCTTGTGGGTCCGATCCCAAAGTTGATGCATGGTTGTAATGAAATCATGTGCTGGTTGGACTGTAGCTGATGCTGTCGGTTTTTGTGGTGTGAGTGGGTGGCGTCCGTAGCAGAGGAAGAACGGCGTCTGTCCAGTAGCGGCATGTGTAGCATTGTTGTAAGCAAACTCGAGTACGGGCAGGTGCAAGTCCCATTTGGAGATGTCGTCCTTGCAGGCTGCTCAGAGGAGTTGCTCAACAATTTGGTTGAGGCGCTCGGTCTGTCCGTCTGTCTGCGGATGGTATGCGGATGACATGGCGAGTTTGGTCCCGAGAAGAGACATAAGTTCCTTCCAGAACTTGCTGGTGAACTTGGGGTCTCGGTCGGAAATGAGTGTGGTTGGGATGCCATGCTGTGAGATGATGTGACGAACGAAGAGCTGTGCTGTCTCCTCGGTGCGTGCCGTCGTGTGTGTCGGGATGAAGTGTCCCATTTTGGAGAACTTGTGAATGACGACAAGGATGGCGTCATGACTGCTGGAGGTAGGTGGTAACCCGGTGATGAAGTCGAGGCTGACCACTTGCCATGGCTGTTCTGGGACAGGAAGAGGCTGCAGTAGTCCCGCCTTTTTCTGCTTGCTGCTCTTCATCCGCTGACATGTATCACACGAGGTGACGAATTTCTGGACATCGTCTGCCATATGGGGCCAGTAGTAGTGTTTGGCGATACCGGTGAGCGTCTTGTTGCTACCGAAGTGTCCGGCGTAGAGGACGTCGTGGTATTCTTCGAGTAGTAGCTGGCGCAAAGGAGGGTAATTGGGTACCCAGATTTTCGGTGATCCTTTCCGGTACGCGATGTCACTGTCCCACTGTAGCAGATGTCGCTTTTCTGCCAAGGAAATTTCGGGGTCGATGGCGTACCCGTGGGTGAAGAGTCCCTTGAGTAGTGGATTCATCCCTTCGACCTGAATCGCGGCAACGTGTGCAGGCCGGCTGAGAGCGTCTGCTTTGTTCTTGTGGCCGGGCTTGTACACGATGTCGTAGTGGAAGTGTGTCTCGAGGAAGTCGATCCACCGGACCTGCCGCCTGGAAAGGTTGGGTTGTGTCTTCAAATATTTCAGGCTGCAGTGGTCGGTGTAGACGGTTGTTCTTCGTCCTTCGAGATAGCATCTCCACGCTTTGAAGGCGATGATGATAGCAAGAGCCTCTTTGTCGTGTATCGGGTAGTTGAGTTCTGCCCCGTGCAGTTTCTTGCTGAGGTAGGCAATTGGTTGCAGTCCATTCCCTTGGTCTTGCATTAAGACTGCACCCACTGCCTGGTCGCTGGCGTCAGCTTCGATTACGTAGTCGCGTTCGGGATCTGGCAAGATGAGTACCGGTGCGGATGTCACTGCTTGTTTCAGTTGCTCCACGGCTTCCTGGTGCTTCGTCTCCCATTTGTAGGGCGTGTTCTTCTTCAGCAGATTCGTGAGTGGTGCCGCGAGTTTCGCATACTGTGGCACGAACCTGTTGTAGTAATTAGCGAAGCCTAGGAACTGCTGCAACTCCTTCACGTTCTCGGGTGTCTTCCACGTACGTACGGCTTCGACTTTCTTGGGGTCGACGTGAACTCCTTGAGCGCTCACCATGTGTCCTAGGAATTGGACCTTTTCAAGGGCGAATTCGCTCTTGGACAGTTTGACGTAGAATCGTTCCCGTCGAAGAATTTCGAAGACGCGTCGCAGGTGTTCGACGTGCTGCTTCATGTCGCGCGAGTAGATGAGTATGTCGTCCAGGTACACCACCACGCATTCGTCCAGAAGTGGTCGTAGAATGTGGTTCATTTCGGCTTGGAACGTTGCCGGCGCGTTGGTGAGTCCGAATGGCATGACCAAATACTCGTACGATCCGTACCGAGTTCGGAAAGCAGTTTTGTGGATAGAGTTGTCCGCCATCCGTATCTGCCAGTATCCGGAACGAAGATCCAGTTTGGAAAATACCATAGCTCCCCGAAGCTGGTCAAGCAGGTCATCGATTCGCGGTATCGGATATTTATTCTTGATGGTCTGCTTGTTAAGAGCTCTGTAGTCGATGCACATGCGCAGGCTTCCGTCCGGTTTCGGTGTGAAGAGTACTGGGGCACCGTACGGCGAAGTGGATGGCCGGATGAGTCCTTTGGCTAGGAGATACTCGATCTGTTTTTTCATGTCGGTCAGCTCCGTAGGGCTGAGCCGATATGGTGCTCGGAAGGTTGGCTTCGAACCCGGTTCCTCCACGATCTCGTGTTGATGCGTTCGGTATGGCGGTAGCTCGTTCGGAAGATCGTCGGGAAGAATGTCTTGGAACTCCTTCAGTAATTCCTTGATTTTTTCTGGAGTTTCCGTGGCTTTCTCTCCGTCATTCTCCACTTCTGTTGCTATCGCCAGGAACCCGGTGTCGGTCCGCTTCACGTCTTTCTCGAATCGTGCGAGTGTCTCCACTGGGATATCTCCAGTATCGTCCCAGTTGGGTAGCTGTACTCTCCGTCCATTGTTGTAGATGCTTGCGGTGCGATTCACCCAGTTGATCTCGGGGTTGAATCTTTTCAGAAAGTCTTGCCCGAAGATCAAGTCAAGCCCTTTGATGTTGGTGATGGGGAGTGCAGGTCTCCAGCGCAGTGGTCCGATTTGTAGGTGTAGCACTGCTTCGCCGTGTGCTGGTAACTTGCTGCCGTCCACCATCGTTGCAGAGAATCCTGAAGGCTTGTACTCTTCCCGAAGTCGGTCGATCATTGCCTTGTCGCAGACGGTGTGTGACGCTCCGCTGTCCACGAGCGCTTGGAGGCGTCGTGTGTGCTTTTGGACCGATCTGCTTTCAAACAGTGTGCCTTTCGACTGGTGTGCTTTTTGACGGGTGTGCTTTTCAACCGGTGTGCTTTTCAACCGGTGTGCTTTTCGTTCGGTGTGCTTTTCGATCGGTGTGCTTTTCGACGGGTGTGCTTTTCAATCAATGTGCTTTTCTCCCAGTGTGCTTTCAAACTAGTGTGCTTTCGACCGGTGTGAATTTCGACCGGTGTGAATTTCGACCAGTGTGCTTTCAGACTAGTGGGCTTCTGTCCATTGTGCTTTTCGACCGGTGTGCTTTTCAACCGAGGTGCTTTCAATCGGTGAGCTTCTCGACCGGGGTGCTTTTGACCGGGGTGCTTTTCGACCGGTGTGTTTTTCGACCGGTGAGCTTTTCGACCGGTGTGCTTTTCGACCCGTGAGCTTTTCGACCGTTGAGCTTATCAACCGGTGTGCTTTTCCACCGGTGTGCTTTTCGACCGGGGGCCTAATCGACCGGTGTGCTTTTGGACCGGTGTGCTTTCGACCAGAGTGCTTTTCGACCGGTGTGCTTTTCGACCGGTGTGCTTTTCAACCGGTGTGCTTTTCGATCGGTGTGCTTTTCGACGGGTGTGCTTTTCGATCTGTGTGCTTTTCGACGGGTGTGCTTTTCGATCTATGTGCTATTCGACCGGTGTGCTTTTCAACCGGGGTTCTTTCAATCAGTGTGCTTCTTGACCGGTGTGCTTTTCGACCGGGGGGCTAATCGACCGGTGTGCTTTTGGACCGGTGTGCTTTCGACCGGAGTGCTTTTCAACCGGTGTGCTTTTCGACCGGTGTGCTTTTCCACCGGTGTGCTTTTCGATCGGTGTGCTTTTCGACGGGTGTGCTTTTCGATCTGTGTGCTATTCGACCGGTGTGCTTTTCAACCGGGGTGCTTTCAATCAGTGAGCTTCTGGACCGGTGTGCTTTTTGACCGGTGTGCTTTTCGACCCGAAAGCTTTTCGACCGTTGAGCTTATAAACCGGTGTGCTTTTCCACCGGTGTGCTTTTCGACCGGGGGGCTAATCGACCGGTGTGCTTTTGAACCGGTGTGCTTTCGACCGGAGTGCTTTTCGACCGGTGTGCTTTTCGACCGGTGTGCTTTTCAACCGGTGTGCTTTTCGATCGGTGTGCTTTTCGACGGGTGTGCTTTTCGATCTGTGCGCTTTTCGACTGATGTGCTTTTCAACCAGGGTGCTTTCAATCAGTGAGCTTCTGGACCGGTGTGCTTTTCGACCGGTGTGCTTTTTGACCGGTGTGCCTTTTGACCGGTGTGCTTTTCGATCGGTGTGCTTTTCGACCGGTGTGCTTTTCCACCAATATGCTTTTTGACCGGTGAGCTTTTCGACCGGTAAGCGTATCAACCAGTGTGCTTTTCCACCTGTGTGCTTTTTGACAGGGGATCTTTTGACCGGGTACTTTTTGACCGGTGTGCTTTTCGACCGGGGTGCTTTTCAAGTGGTGTGCTTTTCGACCAATGTGCTTTTCGAACGGTGTGCTTTTCGACGGGTGTGCTTTTCGATCTGTGTGCTTCTCGGCCGGTGTAATTTCATACTAGTGTGCTTTCGACCGGTGTGCTTTTCGACCAGTGTGCTTTTCGACTGGTGAGCTTTTACGACCGTAGTGTTTTTCGATGGGTGTGCTTTTCGACCGGTGTGCTTTTTGCCCTATGTGCTTTTCGACCGGTGTGCCTTTCGACCAGTGTGCTTTTTCGACCGGTGTGCCTTTGGACCAGTGTGCCTATTGTACTGGTGTGCTATTGTAGCGGTGTGCTTTTCGAACGGTGTGCTTTTCGACCGGTGAGCGTTTCGACCGGTGTGCTTTTCGATTGGTGTGCTTTTCAACTGGTGTGCTTTTCTAACGGTGTGCTTTTCGACGGGTGTGCTCTTCGACCGGTGTGCTTTTGGACAGGTGAGGTTTTCGACTGGTGAGGTTTTCTACCGGTGAGCTTTTCGACCAGTGAACTTTTCGACCGGTGTGCATTTCGACCGGTGTGCTTTTTGACCCATCTGCTTTTGGACTGGTGTGCTTTTCCACCAGTGTGCTTTTCGACCAGGGTTCTTTTGACCGGGGTGCATTTCGAGCGGTGTGCTTTTGGACCGGTGTGCTTTCAAACAGTGTGCCTTTCGACTGGTGTGCTTTTTGACGGGTGTGCTTTTCAACCAGTGTGCTTTTCAGCCAGTGTGCTTTTCAATCGGTGTGCTTTTCGACGGGTGTGCTTTTCAATCAATGTGCTTTTCGCCCAGTGTGCTTTCAAACTAGTGTGCTTTCGACCGGTGTGAATTTCGACCGGTGTGAATTTCGACCGGTGTGCTTTCAGACTAGTGGGCTTCCGTCCATTGTGCTTTTCGACCGGTGTGCTTTTCAACCGGGGTGCTTTCAATCGGTGAGCTTCTCGACCGGGGTGCTTTTGACCGGGGTGCTTTTCGACCGGTGTGTTTTTCGACCGGTGAGCTTTTCGACCGGTGTGCTTTTCGACCCGTGAGCTTTTCGACCGTTCAGCTTATCAACCGGTGTGCTTTTCCACCGGTGTGCTTTTCGACTGGGGGCCTAATCGACCGGTGTGCATTTGGACCGGTGTGCTTTCGACCAGAGTGCTTTTCGACCGGTGTGCTTTTCGACCGGTGTGCTTTTCAACCGGTGTGCTTTTCGATCGGTGTGCTTTTCGACGGGTGTGCTTTTCGATCTGTGTGCTTTTCGAACGGTGTGCTTTTCAACCAGGGTACTTTCAATCAGTGAGCTTCTGGACCGGTGTGCTTTTCGACCGGTGTGCTTTTTGACCGGTGTGCCTTTCGACCGGTGTGCTTTTCGATATGTGTGCTTTTCGACCGGTGTGCTTTTCAACCGATGTGCTTTTCCACCAATATGCTATTTGACCGGTGAGCTTTTCGATCGGTGAGCGTATCAACCAGTGTGCTTTTCCACCAGTGTGCTTTTTGACCGGGGATCTTTTGACCAGGTACTTTTTGACCGGTGTGCTTTTCGACCGGGGTGCTTTTCAACCGGTGTGCTTTTCAACCGTTGTGCTTTTCGAATGGTGTGCTTTTCGACGGGTGTGCTTTTCGATCTATGTGCTTCTCGACCGGTGTAATTTCAGACTAGTGTGCTTTCGACCGGTGTGCTTTTCGACCGATGTGCTTTTCAACCGGGGTGCTTTCTATCGGGGAGCTTCTCTATCGGTGTGCTTTTCGACCGGTGTGCTTTTCGACCGGTTTGCTTTTCGACCGGTGTGCTTTTCGACGTGTGTGCTTTTCGACCGGTGTGCTTTTCGACTGCTGTGCTTTTCAACCAGTGTGCTTTCCGACCGGTGTGCTTTTTGACCGGTGAGGTTTTCGACTGGTGAGGTTTTCAACCGGTATTCTTTTCGACCGGTGTGCTTTTCGACCAGTGTGCATTTCGATCGGTGTGCTTTTGGACCGGTGTGCTTTTCGCCTAGTGTGCATTTCGACCAGTGTGCTTTTCGACCAGTGTGCATTTCGACCGGTGTGCTTTTGGACTGGTGTGCTTTTCGCCTAGTGTGCATTTCGACCGGTGTGCTTTTCGACCGGTATGCTTTTCGACCGGTGTGCTTTTCGACCAGTGTGCTTTCGATCTGTGTGCTTTTCGACCGGTGAGGTTTTTGACCGGTGAGGTTTTCGACCCGTGAGCTTTTCGACCGGTGTTCTTTTCGACCCGAATGCTTTTCGACCGGTGTGCTTTTTGACCGGTGTTCTTTTGGACCGGTGTGCCTTTCGACCAGTGTGCTTTTTCGACCAGTGTGCCTTTGGACCGGTGTGCCTATTGTTCTGGTGTGCTATTGTACCAGTGTGCTTTTCGAACGGTGTGCTTTTCGACCGGTGAGCTTTTCGACCGGTTTGCTTTTCGACCGGTGTGCTTTTCTACCAGTGTGCTTTCGATCGGTGTGCTTTTCGACCGGTGAGGTTTTTGACCGGTGAGGTTTTCGTCCGGTGAGCTTTTCGACCGGTGTTCTTTTTTATCCGAATGCTTTTCAAACGGTGTGCTTTTCAACCAGGGTACTTTCAATCAGTGAGCTTCTGGACCGGTGTGCTTTTCGATCGGTGTGCTTTTTGACCGGTGTGCCTTTCGACTGGTGTGCTTTTCGATATGTGTGCTTTTTGACCGGTGTGCTTTTCAACCGGTGTGCTTTTCTACCAATATGCTATTTAACCGGTGAGGTTTTCGATCGGTGAGCGTATCAACCAGTGTGCTTTTCCACCAGTGTGCTTTTCGACCGGTGTGCTTTTGGACAGGTGAGGTTTTCGACTGGTGAGGTTTTCTAACGGTGAGCTTTTCGACCAGTGTGCTTTTCGACCGGTGTGCATTTCGACCGGTGTGCTTTTTGACCCATCTGCTTTTGGACTGGTGTGCTTTTCAACTGGTGTGCTTTTCCACCAGTGTGCTTTTCGACCGGGGTTCTTTCGACCGGGGTGCATTTCGAGCGGTGTGCTTTTGGACCGGTGTGCTTTCAAACAGTGTGCCTTTCGACTCGTGTGCTTTTTGACGGGTGTGCTTTTCAACCGGTGTGCTTTTCAGCCAGTGTGCTTTTCGATGGGTGTGCTTTTCGACGGGTGTGTTTCTCAATCAATGTGCTTTTCGCCCAGTGTGCTTTCAAACTTGTGTCCTTTCGACCGGTGTGAATTTCGACCGGTGTGAATTTCGACCGGTGTGCTTTCAGACTACTGGGCTTCCGTCCATTGTGTTTTTCGACCGGTGTGCATTTCGACCGGTGTGCTTTTTGACCCATCTGCTTTTGGACTGGTGTGCTTTTCCACC